AGATTTTTTATACCATAATTCAAATTCAGGGAGGTGTTTTTTAAAAGAAGAAATTTGAAAGTTTTGTAAAAATAGTTTTTTGGGAATGTTAAATTGGATATTAATATTGAACTTATTATCATGATTAATTTTAAATAACGGTTGATTAAAAGTATCTTCACTAAAAAAATAGTGAAGTCTAAATCAAATAGGTCGAATTTTGAGGTTTTTATAAAATTTTTTGCATGAATTGTAATGTATTTATCATGTAATACTAAGTATAAACATGCTAGATTTGGTGTGATTTGGTTTTAATTGTTAATAGTATAGGGTGGAATTGAGCTATAAGAGGTGAGAAATTTATAATAGTTCATTTGTGTGAATAAAAAAGTGGTAAATTCTTTAAGTAAATCTATAAAAGTAGAATGGATGAGATCAAAAGGAATAGTGATATTTTTATCAATTAAAGGATTAACCTCATAAATAAGATTGGTGAGAAATTCAGGTCTTTGACCTGCCAAGGATTTAATAAGAAAGTTGTAGCTAAATTTTCTTTTAGATAAGTTTTTGGTTAGATCTGCTTTTTGAATAATTTTTTCTGGGTAGACATCAATAAGATGTGGTTTAATAAAATTGAATATTTTGTAAGCTAAAGTATTATCAAATCTGGTATGAGGTTCTATTTCTTTGGTAATAGGAAATTCTTTGAACCAGTCTAGATCGTTAGAGGTATCTCTTGCTAGTTGATTGGGTTTAGTAGTATTTTGTTTATCAGCCTTTTTTGAAAAGACTAAAATAAAGACTTGGATTCTTTCCTGTGAAGTCATGTTTTTAAATTTAATAAATAAGATAATCACCTTTTGTTGAAGATTGAGTAGCGCTGTTAGACAATTTGGTTTAAGTTTAATATTGCAGATAAGCAGTATACAGTTTCTGTAAATAAGACGGCCTTTGAAGATGCAACTAACTGTGTAATCAGGTGCATAACTACATTTTTCAGTTGATATACATGGAACATTTTTGGTTTTGCAAAGTATACAGGTGTGGTAGTGTTGTGAATGAGAAATGATAGCTGTAGAAAGAGTATGTTCAGTTTGAAAGGTTGGAAATAAAATACGAGGTTTGGATTGGACTGTTTCTTTTTCTTCAGATACTGGTGTTTTAGTGATAGGAAATTTAGGAAGTTCTTTAGCATATTTTAACAATTTATAAGAAATTTCATTAATAGTTTTTTGAACAGAAGGTTGGCCAAGTGCTGTTGGATATTCAATGTGATAATTCTTAGAAGTGAAGCTAGTATAATACTTGCTACGAAAGCATGTGCCGATAGAAGGTTATAATAGAGCTTAAAAGAAATGTTGTCGTTTAATAGAGTTGCATGCCTCCGGTTTGTATGCTGGTTGAAGAACTTTTAACTGTTTTGCTTTATTTTCATTAATCCTTAGTCCATGACAGTCTTTATAATTAGTATGATAGTAATATAGATTATAAAAATCTGGTTCTTTGTTAACAAAAGTTGGCATTTTGGAGGTATGCTTTTTTTAGAGGGTGTGACAATTAAGGAGTGTAACAAATAACAGGATATGACAAATAAGAGGTGTGATATATAAGGGTATGACAGATAAAGTATTACCTAGTGTAACAATAAAATGATTAACAGATTGACGTATGATCAATATAAGACAAAAGTTGTGTAATTTAATTAAAAATATTACTAAAATTAGATTAAATTTAAAAATAAGTGAAATAAGGACTTGACTTGTGTAAATTAATTTGTAATATTGATTTGTAATCAAGGATCAGCAGGTCTGGACATCTTAGAGGGGGTTCCTCCAAAAAAGAAAAAAATTTTTAGTAAAAATAAAGTGTAATTTTTGCAAAGGAGTTTTGGAGTATTTTAATTGTAAAATAAGCAGTTTGGTCTGTTTATAGTATTTTTTTATATCAAAATGAAGCTAAGAATGAGCAGAATCTTTTTGCTTTAATGAGCCAAAGCGATTTACTTAATAAAATTTTGAGTTATTGCAAGAAGAACAAAAAATTGAATTTTAGCTATATTTCTATAAAAAAGACCTTTAGAGATATAAAATTAGATCACCTATATATAAAATTTTGTCAGAAATAATTTTACTTAGATAGCCAAAGTAGATTTACTTAGTAAAATATTGAGAAAAATACAAGTTTTTAGCAAAAACTTGGTACAAGTAATCATTAGAAAGAGTTAGTGATTTGCATCTCGTAGTATTAATGTTAAAGAATTTTTTTATAGAAAAATTAGTAATATTTTAGTAAAAAGATTTTTTTTCTAAAAAAAAAGTTTTAAAAAAGTTTTTCAATAATTTTATGATATAAAACTTTATTTGGGTTACTTATATAGTTTAGTACATATATATTTAATTAATTATTTTAATTTAAATCTATAAAAAATAAGTTTTATTTATAGATTATTTTTAATTAAATTTTATATAAAAACTATAGAAAAAATCATGTATACATAATGTTGCATATACATTATTACATTATACATGCATTGTTACATTACACATATATTATTACATGTACTATAACATTCCACAAACATATTTTATATAATATACATTTTAAAAATTTTCTTTAAATTTAATTGAAGATATTTCAGCAACTAATTGATCAATTTCGATAAAAATTTTTTTATTCAGATTCTACAGATCTGTAGAATTCAAATAAAAAAAAATTTATCGAAATTGATCAATTAGTTACTAAGATATCTTTTATTAAAGTTTTGTGACCAATTTTAGTGCAATTCCTAAACAAGATATATATTAAAATTATTCTTGAACTTTGATTAAAGGTATTTTGACAACTAATCAATCAATTTTGATGAAAATTTTTTTATTCAGATTCTACTGATCTGTAGAATTTAAAAAAAAATTCATCAAAATTGATCAATTGGGTGCTGAGATATCTTTGATCAAAGTTTTGTAACCAATTTCAATGCAGTTTCTATGCAAAATATAGATTAAAATTATTCTTAATCTTTGATCAAAGGTAACTTGGCAACCAATCGATCAAATTCAATGAATTTTTTTTTTATTCAGATTCTACAGAACTGTAGAATTCGAATAAAAAAAAATTCATCGAAATTGGTTGATTGGTTGCTGAGATACCTTTGATCAAAGTTTTGTAACCAATTTTAGTATAGTTTTTATGTAAGATATAGGTTAAAATTATTCTTAAACTTTGATTGAAGGTATCTCGGCAACCAATCGATCAAATTCAATGAAATTTTTTTTATTTGGATTCTATGGATCTATAGAATCTAAATAAAAAAATTTTATCAAAATTGGTTGATTGGTTGCTGAGATACCTTTGATCAAAGATTTGTAACCAATTTTGGCGCAGTTTCTATACGAGATACAGGTTAAAATTATTCTTAAACTTTGATCGAAAGTATCTCACAACCAACTGATCAAATTGTGAATTTTTTTTTATTCAGATTTTACTGTTCTGTAAAATTTGAATAAAAAAAATTCATCAAAATTGGTTGATTGGTTGCCGAAATACCTTTAATCAAAGATTTGTAACCAATTTCAGTGCAGTTTTTATACAAGATACAGTTTAAAATTATTCTTGAACTTTGATTGAAGGTATCTCAGAAACCAACAAATCAAATTTGATGAATTTTTTTTATTCAGATTCTACAGATTTGTAGAATTTGAATAAAAAAAACTTCATCAAAATTGGTTAATTGGTTGCTAAGATACCTTCGATCAAAGATTTGTGACCAATTTCAGCACATTTTCTATGTTTGATTTAAGGTTGGACCGGGTAATAACTGAGATCTCTGAATTTTTTATATATATGTACATATTTATATATGTAAATATATATAAAGTTTATATGGGTAATAACTGGGATCTCTGTTAAATTTAAAATTTAATAGAGATCCCAGAAAGAACCTCTTTTCTAGAAGCCTTTGTAATGATAAATATTTATTTTTTTTAACAGATACCCTGTTTACACAGGATCTCTGTTAAAAAAAAATTAACATAACATTTGAGCATTACCAACAATCAAATCTTAGTAGAGGAAGATTAACATAATATTTGAGCATTACTAACAATCAAATTTTAGTAGAGGAAGATAATGTTCTATATGTCTACATTTATATATACAATTAAACTACAAATTAACTATTAATTATTTACAAGTATGTCGTATAACTATATAAAAGTCTAATTAAAGTATACCCTTTACTATAACTTCGCATAGACTATTATAGAGTTAAACTACAGATTGCACATATTCTACAAGCCAAAGTTTATTTTTGAAACTTGGTTGCGTCACATATTTCTCCTCATGAAAGATGAGCTCTACTCGAATCCTATTATTCACAAAATATTTTGATCATATCACATGCTTCTTATTCATTTGAAATCATCAAGACTGATTCTTCAACATATTTAATATATCTTTTGTTAAATCATCAGATCGATTACTATATATTACTTAAATTACTGTTTCAATATCGTTATCTTAAATTTGAAGGTTGTAGACTTCAATTTCTTGTATTCACAATTCGTCCCTAATTTATTCACTTTCTTAACATTTCCAATTTTCCAGACATAAAATGTTGTGCGAATATATGTTTTTATAAATATTTGACAGATTATAGGTTGTAGATGCTCTTTCTCTGCACCTACTCGTTATAGCCATCTCTTCTTTACTACGTCTATTAACCTTCAGTTAAATAATAATTTCTTTACTTCTAGCATCTATTCCATTTATATGTTACTTATTCTCCAATTTTCTATACACTCAAATTCTGACTTATATGTGTGATTTTTGATTTGATTTTTTTTTTAAGCATCCTGTTTAATCACATGACTCTGATTGCAGTTGACTGTCTATAATTTATAAGTGTTGATTGGATATCTGCAGTTAAGTATTCTAATCTCAATTCATTGTTTGTACTAATTTGAATTGTACTAAAAAAATTTTTTTTTCATTGCTTATTTAATTGCACATTTTATATTTTTCATTTATTCTCCAATCTCTGTTAAACTTTCACCTGGGTCAAATGCAACTCTAAATAATGCATCAAAATTGCCCATTTGCTTCCTTGGTTTATGTTTGATTATAAAATCATAACTATGCAGTATCATAATGTATTTGGCCATTCTTTCAGTTGAATTTAACATATTGTTTAGGTAAGTCAATGCACTGTGATCTGTTATTAAAGTAAATTGAGGATTATGCAAATATTGATGAAACTTTTTTATAGCCCAAACGATTATTGTACACTCCAATTCAGTGATGGTATAATTCTTTTCTAAGGGTTTTATTAATCAACTGACATACTCAATAACATATTCATACTCATCTTTATCTACTTGTGCTAATATAGCACCCAAAGCTATATGTGACGCATCCTAATACAATAAAAATTCCTTGTCATCTTGTAGATATGCCAAATCGGGGCCATTATTAAACATGTTTTTAACTTCACAAATGCCTTTTCTTGTTTTTCTTTCTATTGATATGTTTTGTAATTTTTAACAAAATATATAAGACTGCAGATATTTTTAAAAATCTTAGACAATTTGGCGATAATTTTATCTGGGTTTAATTTCAGGTTAGCTTCTCAAAGCCTAGACAGTATGATCTTTATATTAACCAAATAAGTATCAAAGTTAAGAGAGTAATTATTTATGTCGTTGATACACCAAGGCAAATTTTCATAATTTGTTTTTGAGAACTCTATCCATCAGCTTTTGAAATGTTGCAGGAGCATTTGTCAAGAAAAACAGCATCACTACAGATTTGTAAAGGCTGTATTTCATCATAAACACTATCTTTTCTTGGTCTTGAAGTTTCATTTCAACTTGCTAGAAGCTACTTGCAAGATCTAATATAATATACCATGCTGAATTCTTCAAGGCTTCTAGAAATTCATTGATTCAGAAAAATGGGTAACTATCACATTTCATTCTTTAATTTAACTTGTGAAGGTTGATGCAAAAATGTAACTTTCTATTCTTCTTTTTCACCAGGATAACTAAAGATGCTCAGGGACTATTCGATAGCTTTATCAACCCAGTTTCTTCCAAACGTTGAATTTCCTAACTGATGAATTTGTATTCAACTCTGAAAATAGGGTAGAACCTTTGCTTGATTGAAGGACCTTCTTCCGTATAGACTTCATGTCGCATGACCATCATATGACCCAACTTATAAAGTTCATGTACAACCAAATTCTGATAATTTCTTATAATTTTCAATATTCGTTGGTTTTGCTTCACAGTTATATCACAATGTTTAACCTATGGGTCGATATCTTCATATACTTAAAAGGCATACTGCCCAATCATTCTCACAATGTTCTTTTATGACACAATTATTACTATTCTTCTGTTTTTTATATACAAACTACAAACTTTATTGAAGGTCCTTATTGGATGAAGCTCGTAGAAGAAATACTTCTGATTAATTAAAACTTCATTATTGTCAGTGTCTTCTTTATTACTATTGTCAGAACTTATACTATCCTTATCATCATTATTGTCAATGTTACTAGATATTTCTTTGTCTTTTCCTTTTTTTGTCTCTATACTAGTTGTCTTGGGTTGTATACAATTGCTAATATATGCCAGCTTACAATATTGGTCAGAATTTTTATTTCTTTATTACCATCCATAATCATAAGTTTGCAAGATTTTGAATCCAATTTAACCCTAGCCTTCTTTATCTAATCGTTTCTAATGATTGAGGCATAGTTAGCAACATCTGTGATGACAGCTTTAGATGTAATTGTTTTTTCACTCACAGTTACAAGAAAATGATCAACTTTAACCAATGGCTGTTTTTGTTTACAGTGAATCTCAGTTATCAACACAGTTGAGAGACTATTGATTGCAATTCCAGTCTCTTTTAAAAATCCTACAGAAAAGACACAATCCAAAGATCTACTATTCAAAATTAAGATGATCTGCATGTGTTCATATGGGCTTTGCAATACATAAATATCATATATCTATTATTCATTCAACCCAACCGAATGTTAACAAACTTCAACTTGGCACTTAATCAGAGTGCAACAATTTAAACACCTCTTTTCTAACACCTGATGCAGTTTGAAACAGTTGTGCATATGTTATTTTAAACTTTTTACCTGAAAATAGGACATAATTGAATATGGCTGAATGCCAGCTATCACCAAAGAGTTGATCAGCCTGGTCCTTTTCTTTTTAACTTTGGGCTTCTTATTTAATGATCAGTTTTATCAACAGTTTCATTTTGAGGTGAGGATGCAACTTTGTCAAGATTCTCATTATCTTTTCGTTATCATTTTGCTAGATAGGCCTCCTCAATCTGATATACTAAGAGATTTGTAGATATCGATGCATACTCACCCTCAAAAGGTGCATCCTTTAGTTTAAACATTGGAAGTCATCCTCAACCTAAGCAATCATTGCTTGCATCCGTGAACTGTCATTTGTCAAAGTATTACTGGCCTCTATTTTAAAGCTTGCAATAGGTGGGGCATTTCTAGCATCATTTAATTGTTGAACAATGTTTGGGCACTCTCTTACATAGTGGCCTGATTGTTGATAGGAAAAACAGATAGGTCCCTGGCCACTACGGTCCTAACAATTATCATTACTAGCAAGGTGACTATTACTATTATTTTTATTAGCACCACCTTTGATTGTTTTTACCACTTCTTGCAACAAAGTGATCATTTGGCCTATCGAATCTTGAGGCTTTGTATCCAACAGTCAACTCACTAGTAATTGAAACAGCAACAATAGTTGTGCTAATATGGAAGGTTGCAACATTTGTGGAGGCTGTGGCTGCAGCATCCATTGTTGCTATGATTGGGGCATCTATTGTTGCTGTGACTAGAGCAATTATTGTTGTTATGTTTGTAGCATTTATAGTTCTGCAGATATAGTAGTTGGGATGAAGAACCTAATATATTACTATAAATCACTACAGATCTACAGGTAGCCAAGCCTCTTGCAAATATTGTTTCACATATTCAGGCTCAGTTGATTGCTTCTTGTAATATACTTGGTATAAAAGGCTAAGGGTCATCAACAAATTGGGGCAAAGACCTTGCACAAACATTTGTGCTTTTATTATTTTTGGATATTGGTTACCAACTTTCATCACTCATAGAAACAAGGTCAACATATTTGTTACATACTGGTTGACTGTTTCTCTGACACATTGCTTTCTTGACAATAGTTCATAATTCCATTGGGTTATTAAAGCATGTGTACAAAATTAGAATAGAATTGATGTACAAAGCACTGATCTAGATATAACCCATTATCTTAGTGTTGTAGGCCCAGCCTTCTTGCTCTTAAACCTTCTTACTAAAATACTACATGCCCAAAAAAATATGCACCGACTACTAAAAACCTTCAATTTCTAATAATATTGTTAACTTTGAATACTCTATCTACTGCTTCTAGCCATTCTATAGGGTTTTGATTGTTACCTAAAAATACTAGTATATATACAAAGTAGTGTTCTTTTGCTTTAGATAGAGCTTCTTGTTGTCTTGTCATTAAGTTCGTCATATATTCAAGAAGCTTGTCCCAAGATGGTTGAACATGGGTTGGGTTTATTAGAAGATCATGATTATCTTCAAGCTTGGCTCTTCTAATAGATTATCATACATTGTATATAAGCTGTATATCCTTGTTGCCTATTATCATTGGTTTGATTCATCAGACACCTCAGGTATTTGTTCTGTTTGTCTGGTTTATCCTATTCAATATCAACCAATTAATTATTCTTAAGTCAATTCATTCATCCTTTTCTTTTTATTGTTGTTTGTATGTCCAGGGTCTTTAGGAAACTAACACTTATTAGCTAATTACCTCCACCCCTGTAGTACCCTATTGGGGACCCTTATCTATATACACATAATGGTTTAACAGTTTACAAAAAAAATTAACACAAATTAGCTCCTTGAAACATGACATAATAGCCCCATATGGCACAGCACATAACAGCAAAAAAATAACACAAATTAGCCTCTTGAAATATAACATAACAGCCCCATATAGCGCAGCACATAATGGTCAAAAAAAATAATACAAATTAGTCCCTTAAAACATGACATAATGGCCCCATATAGTGCAGCACATAACGGTCAAAAAAAATAACACAAATTGACCCCCTTGAAACATGACATAATGGCTCCATATGACGCAGTATATAACGGTTAATTAATGGTTTACAAAAAAATTAACATGACATAATGGCCCCATATGGCACAGTATATAATAGTTTATAGTTACAAAAATTAACCCTTGAAACATATTATAACGGCACTATGTAATGCAGCATATAATAATTAACGGTTTATAAAAAATTGACACAAATTGATTTCTTGATATATTATAACAGCCCATGTGGCGGTTGCACTTGAAGTTTATAAGAATTAGCCTCCTAAAGCATGTCATAACAGTCCTATTTAGCACAGCACAATGGTTTTTATTTTCTAAAGACATGTGACTAGGGAGAGACTTTATATCAGCACTGCAAATTTAGCTTATTATTACACACAAGGCACCTTAAAACACTAAACCAATCACTTACAGTAGCAATACAAGCATTGCTGAAATGGCCTATCTTATTGAATTAAAAATATTTAGAGTTCCAATCCGGATAAATCCGTCATCCGTTTATTCGTATCCGATTATCCGGATTATCCAAATCGCTCGGATATCTGGATAATCTGACGGGTAATCAGATAATTATCTGAATATTAATAGTAAAACGGATATCCGAATAAATTCAGATTTGGATATCCGATGGATAAATGGATAAACAGATAATGGATAGGAACACTAAAAATATTATTTTATTTTAAAATAGGTTTTTGGCTTTTAAAAATAAGATGCTCTTTCATTTTGAAAATCAAACCCTGAAATTATTCTCAAAATCAAGGTGAAAGTCAAAATGAATGGTAAAATGAACGTCAAAACAAAAAACAAACAGAATTTCTAATGGAAACCATATGTAAATTAGCAGTAATAAATCTGGCACAAGGAAACATAACTTTTATACAATATGATCCAGTAATCTCAATAATTATTTTGCTAATTTTTATCATATTGGTGTATTAAAATTTTATTTAAATAATACTTTAGACCTTTATTAATTAATATCATCTATAATAAATTCCACATGTCAGTATATTAGATTATTTGAAAATTATGGATTTTAAAATTTATTATATGCATGACATTTTAATAAAAAATTGATATTACATAAATAAAAAATCCAAACTTTAATCAATCAAATAAGAATACATGCTATAACGTTCTATATTATTACCACATTTTCTATTCTAAAATTTGGATAGTTGCTTTTATTAGCAAATAATATCTGGTATTTCCATTTCATATAATTTATTGTCTATAAAAAGATTATTAAACAATATTATAATATAGAACAATATAATTTATCAAAAAAAGTTTAAATTATAATTATCTTAATATTTATAGCTACTATTAAGTAAAATCAAGCTATCAAGCTACTTTTATAATAAGAATCAACATATATTTGTGTTCTTTCATTTTTTATATTTTGTAGTTTTTTATTAGATTCAAATAATTCTGATAAAATATTGTTATTATTCAGCTATTTTGCAAAATATCAAAAATTTCTTTTACTGTTGGTCGATTGTCTGGTTCTATACTCCAATATTTCCTTATTAAGTCTGAATAGTATATTGCTGTATTTTCATAAATATGTGGTCGTAAACCTTTACAAACTTGCAGTTGAAATTTTAACTCAGATTTCTGCTCAAAAGGAATAGATCTACTATATAAAATTTCTCAAATAATCATTCCAAATAAATAAATATCTGATTCTTTAGTATATGGCTGTTTTTTTAAAACTTCAGGAGCAATGTATAGTAAAATTCTATAAATTCCATTAGATTTTGATTTTAATGCAATATTAGCAGTTATCAAAAGTCCTAAAACTGCAATGTATGCACTTTTTAAACTATTAGTAGTATATTTCCACTATGTAAATCCTGATGAATAAGATCATGTGAATGAATTGTCTGAAGATCTGATACAATATATTGTAACAAATTTAATTTATCTTTCCAATCCATTTGTGCTAAGATATATAGATTTTTATGCAAACAATCTTTTGAAGCATAATCCATGACAAGAGTATAATTTCCAGAAACTTTATCTCTTGATATACCAAAACATTTTAAAAATGTTGGATCATTAAGACTGATATTACTAACCTACTAATTTTACCAAGTCTTATGCAACATTAGACTAAAAATATATACAGTCATCCTCCTCTATAATCATGCAGTTTGTTTTACATAAAAAAAATGTGATTATAAAATTTTAATAATATTGTGATTATATAAAGTTTTTTTAATAAATAAATTACTAATAATTTTTCAAAAAATGGTGCTTATAAAGTAGGTGTGACTATATAAGAGGTGACTGTAGAGAAGGACGACTGTATAAAGAAATTAGAATTAGAAATAAATCAATTTTTTTTTATCTGTAAAAATTCATAAATTTTTGCAAACTGCAATGAATTTACAATTGCTTTATAAAGAACTCTCAATGTTTCTACATTAACAGGTTCAATATTTAATGACTTATTTAAGCCTGAATTGCACCTTCATTTTGGTATTATTTTTAAATAGATTCCTTTTTGACTTATTATATCATCACAAAATAATGCCAGATGTTATTACAAGACAAAAAATTTTAAAATGAGTTAATAATTAATTTTGCCGAAGATTTTTTTAAACTTTAATATTTATTTAATAGTAAAGTTTAAAAAAATCTTTAGCAAAATTAATTATTAATTCGGTTTAAAATTTTTTTGTCTTGAAATAACGCCCAGGCATTATTTCACAACAGTACGGTAATAACCATTTGAGAGCCATCCAAATACATGACAAGTTTCTCAGTTTCTTAATACAAATGCACTATTTGGATCAATTTTCAATAATCCAAAGCAAAGCACTCTTTAATTTTTCGAAAACATCCTTACTTGATATTGTTCATGCATTGTTTAATCTCTAATGACTTGATTCAAGTCTTTTAAGATTTTCAAATCTGCATATTTTGCGATATATTTCATAACGCAAAAATACTAATTGTAATGATTTGATTATATCCCTGATGATTTCATACATATAATTTGTTAAACCTCAATCTCTGTGCACTATTTATTATAAATATAACATGCTTCTTTTACAATAGACCTATCATGTGATAAGTTGTTCCTCGATCACTTAAAATCATTAAATTTTCACCTGTCATGCAATAATTTGGTCTGAAACAGTAATTAATTAAATCTAACATGGCTTAAATGTTTAAAAATATACAGTTAAAATGACTTAGTAATTACAGTAATGAGAACTAGAAAAAATTTATTAGTCTATAGTAATAGTCATTTTATCTTTCTTTACATCGCATAACAATATCTCAACTAACTCCAAGTCAAAGCTATTCTGTGATAATACTGCCATTTACATTGTTATTCTGAGAATAGACCAGTAATATCGATTTTATTTTATTTCATTAGTATTGAAACCTCTGAAAGGAATTAAATAGAGGAGTATGTAAAAGGAAATTAATTAATGAAGGAAGTAATAAAAGAAAATTAAATAATGGGGGTTAATATAGGGTTATAGTATGTACTGTATATACAGCATGTTGATATTTTTATTCCAGTTGTAGAAGGTTAAAGTATAAAATCAACATGGGAATAGATCATTGATATCGATTTTAATTTATTTCATTAGTAATAAAACCTCTAAAAGAAAATTAAATAAAGGGGTATATAAAAGGAAATTAGAATGTACAGATTATCATATTACTGTACAGGAAATTAGCCAAGATTTTTAAGATTTTCAAAGTTTTCAAGACCCAGTTCTTTAATTTTTACTAATTGGAATTTTCAAATTTTCTGATTTCCCATATGGGTATATAGAAATCATTTTTCACATCTTTTGAAAAATAGCTATAATTAATGAAGGGTAATAAAAGGAAATTAAATAATGGGAGTTAGTATAGAGTTATAGTATGTATATATAGCATGTTGACATTGTTATTCTGATTATAGAAGGTTGAAGTATAAAATTAACCCTAAAAGAAAATAAATAGAGGGTGCGTAAAAGAAAATTAATTAATGAGGAGTATATAGATAATGAGTAGGATTATGGTATGTATATACATACGTATCTATATACAAAATTAAAAGAACCTCAGCTATTTCTTTTTTGGTTAAAGCTTTGTAGTATCCTTGCTGTTTCTTCAGATGCAAAATCTATATATATATAAAGCGCAGTTGTCTGTCACATAGTATGCATTCCGGATGCACAAGTGTAACTGATTTGCATAAATCATCTACAGTACAATTTATATTGTGCATGCAGATCGTGTTACTTAATTTATGCATTCTGGATGCACAAAATGCTAATTAAGGTAAGTAAACAAATGCATCTCCCCCTTTTTTTTTTGTAATTTTCCCACGCTTATATTTTTTTAGTATTTTCAACTCCACTCCTATACATATAATCCGTAAGAAAGGCACCACTATTTGACGAAGAAAATATACCAACAAACGTTTAAGAAAAGGCGTTATTAAAGATCATTCAAGAAAAAAATGCCTCAACAAACAACGAAATCATTGAAACATACCAAGAAAAGCATCAACAAACCCGAAGAGAATACCACCAAATGATGACATAAACGAAAAAAATTAGTAAAAAGAAAAAAAAACAATAACAATAAAAACAAAAAAAAAACAATACCGTTGATATTAAGGAGAAATACCAACACGAAGAGAAGACACCAACAAATGACACTATCAACATCACGAATAATACACAAAAAAAAATTAGCAAAAAGGAAAAAATTAGTAAAAAAAAAAAACACAAAAAAAAAGAACAATACCGTTACTATGATTATCTCTATTAAATATTTATTTTTTCTTTAGTCAACGTAGTTTTCAAGATTCGATCGAAAATTTCACATTTTATAACAAACGAATTTGTAGAATTCAAATATGGTTAGTTTATGACTTTAATAATGATGCTCTTAAATTCAATATTAATTGAACTACTTACCAATATAATATAAATTTACAGAACCTAAATAGATTTGCTTCGGAGCTTTGAAAAGATAAA